TAAGAAATACAAGGGTATTTCAAAAAAATTCCTGGAGAATGGAATTAAAAGATAAATTTTAGTACAAAAAATTGCAATCCATGCATATGTCCATCAACATGAGAGGCTTTCAAAAAGTTCATGGGAATGTGTATTACGAAAAAAAAACTGGGCTTGGATTTCAAAAATTTTTTGCACTCAAATAAACTTAGCTTTTAATTCCATTTTCCACGAATTTTTTGAAGTACTCTCAAAATGTTAAGGAGTTTCATGGAGTTTGGTGGATTCACCCCACTTTGGATAATTTATTTTTTGCCCCCATAATTTTCATAAGGGATTGGCCCTGGGCCATGGGAGTGTAAATAAAGCTTAGAAATTTATGAACATTTTAAGATTAGAAATACTGTTTAAGTTAATATGATTTATCTTTCTTTTTGTTTCTTAAAATTTTAGGGGAGGATTTAAACCTCATGGGCTTTGGTGAGGATGAAGAGCACTTTCTTTTAGATTTTTTTTCTTAAAATGATTTTCAGAGTAGGGATAAGTTTCATTATCTGTGGCCACTGTCCCTTTTCTCTTTCCTTTCTAAAAATTCATAAATTTGTTTTTTCTATTTTGAGAGTAGGGTTTATTTATTTTGGTGAGGATGGGACATTTGCTTTTAGGAATGGCTGCTTTCTTTCTTTTTTGTAATCCTTAAAATTATTTTTTTTTCCACTGAGGGAATGACAGTCAGATGCCTTTGAGAAGGCTGGGCACCCTATCCTTAGCACGATTTCTGTTTATTTCCTTTCCAAAAAAAAAAAGTCTTTGTGAGTAAAAGGTTCAGGTTCAGGGTCTCCTAGTGCCTCGCCTCTTCTCTTTCCTTTTCAGACTCCTGTTCTAATGCTGTCCCCTCTCTGGGAGCATCAGAAGTAGAGCAGCAATCACTGCTTTGGGGGGAAAAATTAGAGCTAATGACATGTCAGTGAAAAGACTGTTCTTAGACAAATGAGAAGTCTGCGTGTCACAGAAAGCCATATGTTGGATATTTTAAAAGTCCACAAAAGATAAATTAATCTTTATATCCTACTAGCAGCCAAATTTTGTTTTTGCCCTCCCCTCCCCTTCTGCATCTTTCAGGGAAATAAAAGGGTTAACAATGCAGAGGAAAGTATTCTGTAACTTGTGAAGTGCATACTAGCAGGAGGGATTATATAATCCCCATTACAAGGCCCTTGAATGGTTTCTGGCTCTTTCGCCCTTTCCTTGGAGGCACTTGGGGTAACATCTCATTCTTTCCTTTTGGGCTGAAGATAGATTTTCAGAAGCCTGTGTTGGAGATTTTCGTAAACACATCAGAATTGCACTCTCAGAAAGGGAAGACCACTGACCAAATGCCTCATTATCTTTTCTGGAACATCCAGTAGCAAATGCTCTCAGAATATACCAAATAAGCCGGATAGTATCATCAATGTCTGGCAAGGAAGGCATGGGGTGTGGGGAGAATGTAAGAGGAAAGAAAGTAATTCCATTCTGACCTTCAACAGGTTAAACATTAGAATGTATAATCCCAAAGCTGTTTACAGTGACTGCAGAGATTCTGTTCGCTTAGGAAAACAATTTATTACCCTTGAAAGCAACCAATATCATCATTAGTCTGCTGCTGCAGGGACTGCATGAGATAAGAACACTTTCCAAGCCATTTAAAAAAATTGTTAGCAATTTGCTTCTTAATTATGGTTCCAATATCCATTCTGAAATTGGAAAGATTGACTACATTTCCTCAAGGGCTACATATTCCAGGCTATTTAAATAAGCATTTACTTCTCACTCTAAACCAATAAGAGTACACTTTTATTAATTCACAGCAGTCGCCTCTATGTCACTAGAGATGAATTTGATAGATTCCAGGCTTCAGCAAGTGTTGATTGAGCACAGATAAGGACGTATGCATCATATTAGGCACCCAGAAATAAGCAAGACTTACCAGACATCATATAAATAAGTGCTTGCCCTTTTGCAAGGAAAAAAATTACCAGCTTTGTGTGCAAAAACTGTTCTGTTCTGGTTTAGAGATAATGGCAATTACTGTGTAGTTATCAGCAGGGAAACCCAAATGCTCCCACCCTCCAAATAAAAGCCATAAAAACGCATTTCTCCCAAGATTTGCATCAATCATTCATACAATGTGATTATAATTTCATAGCTGGTTAAGACCAAGAGAGTTATAGCATTGTTAACCAATTCACACATCTTTACTTACACTTGCTGCCACCAGGTGGGAGACCATGGCTCATTTCTTGGGAATCAAAACATTTTAGAAAGGAAGGCAATAAGTTTGGTTCATACACTGTGTTACCCTGGTAGCTATTTGGAAAGAAAACATGAACCCCTTTTTCTCAGTCTCTACCCTCAAGCTTGACATAAAATTAGAACCCATGGGTTTTGAAATATTACTGAAACCCCCAAAGCGAACAGACTACAGGATGGAAGATGTTGATTTTTTTTTTTTTTACTTCTATGTCAGTCAGCAAAATTACCTGAGAGAAACTTGCAGTCATACTCAGTCATTTGTTTTAACTCCTTTCAACCTGATGACCCCTGTATTTTGTTTTGTTCCCTGAGATCATGTGTGTGCACACCTGTGCTTGTGTGTGGTTGGGGGGGGGGGTGCATGGTTGTTTTTCCCCAAGCTTGCCTCAAGGAGGCAGTGTTTGAGAAGAATGGCATCCAGCTAAGATGGCAACCTGTTTGCCTTGAATGTTAAGATGTCAGTGAGCAGGTTGCAGGTGCTATTTGGCTAAGGAGAATGCAGCAGAGAATTAGCCTATCACTGCAAATCAGACATCCCTGATTGCACCAGAGAGCAGTTGAACAGCGACATTGAGGGTGGTGGAGAAGGGTCCAGCTCCCAGCAATTTGAACATTTCTCCAAATCCTTTGCATCTTTCCAGATCCTTTAGAGCCACTGATTAGTTAATTTATATGGCCTTCTTGAGGGATGGTCAGTGGGCTTAACCCCTTTCTGCAAAAATTCTGGCTCTATAGAGAGCAAAATGAAACACCCAGGGTCCAGATCTCACCTGCCAGGGCAACCAAGAGTCTGTGGGTCAGCCAGCCAGCACATTGGAATGGACACTATGTGAAAGAAAGTAAGCTGATTCCCTTTACCTGGAGCTTTCTCAGATGTCTGGCTACAGACATTTTCCATCCAAGCTAGTAGGAAATGTTTGTTTATTATTTATTTATTTATTTTTTGGTCATTTGGGGTGTGGGGATGGGGGTGCTGGACTCCAGTCAGCCTTCCAGAGGCTAAAGGAGATGCATTCAATGACCTTCCTGGTTATTACATCCCCAAGTGTCAGTTTTCTGGCTATGATCCCCAAATTTCACTTAAGATGGCCACAGGTCACGTGACTGCTGCTCATCTCCCTCCTAGTGGTTTAATGCAAACTCTTACAAAAAAAAAAAAGACTGGAGTCCCCACTCTGGTTAGGGTGACCACCCACATCTAGAGGCCACACCTTTTCATTCTTGACATCATTGTAGGGAAGGGTACCTGCATGAAGGGGAAGGATGCAGAGTGTTGGATAAAAAACATTGTCTGAATCCCTATTTTATTTCTTAATTTTTAAACCTCTGCACTTTTTTCTCCCTCTGTGAAACTTTTCACTTTAGCTTTCCTCTTTTTTGGTCTTTTATCTTTTCAGATATTCTGCAAACTCAAAACTCCCTACTCAGAACTCAGGAAGCCAGCAGCCCTTGCATTTCAAGATGCCAACCTCTTCTGCTCCCACCCCCTCCCTCGGCCTCGCCCCGCCCATTCTGCGTGCTACAAGTGTTTCGGGCCACCGCAAAAGGGTTCCTGACTTCATACCCTTGCACCTTGACAGGCAGCAGGCTAGGCAGGCATCGGCGGTGTGTTGTGGTGTTTGTTTCTGGGTGCATGTATTTACGTGTGTGCTCCTGCAGGGGAATCTCCATTGGGGTGTATGGATGCATTATCACGACTTTCACACTTCTGCGGAGCGGAAGTTTAGGGGAAGAGAAGAGCAGGGGGAACGCACAGAAAACGGGAGACACAGACTCCAGCTGAAGAGTACATGGTCTTTCCAGGGTCCTAGGCAAATACCAAAACCTTCTCCCTCCCCCATCCCGGTGCCCGAAGATCCTATACTTTTTTTTTTTTTCCTGGCTAAGTGCAAGGTCTTAGAAGTTACCCCTGTAGAGGAGTAGACATCAGCGTTCCCATTAACGTGCTCTCAAATCCCAACTACTCTGTACCGTTGCAACTAGCCCTGGTGCGGGATGCCGGCTGTCCACTGGTGACGCGGCACTTCAGTGTATCGCTGGGTTTGCACCTACCTGCTGGGAAATCCTGCAGACAGATGGAATGGTGGCTTCGACACACGCATGCTCTCCCCCTCCTCTAGGGCGAACCTTGCCCTTCCCCTGCAGTGCGCGTGGGCGTCGCCTATCCCCTCATCCTCACGCGGAGTACCACTGCCTAGCCACAAGCAGAGAAGACGGGGACCTCCATGGAGCGCCGCCAGTTGTACCCCAGCTGAGGCGCCCCCTCCCCAGTGGCAGGGAGGGGGCCCAGCAGGCTGCGGCTCCGCAGCTTGGGCCTCTGCGGCAGTGACCGTGGCTAGAAGGTGTGTCCCATCGCCCGCACTCAATCCATTCTGCCGTGCTCCCCCGGCCAGCCGCTGACACTTCAAGTCCTTTGCACTCCTCATTTACAACACATAGGCGCTCACCGCACTGTAGCTTCTCCCCGTGGGGCAAAGTTCCCCGACTCCCACCCCTGCTGTTACGGGTCGCTAGCCTCTAAACAACCCACTCTCACTTGCCACATGTTGCTTCCCGCCTCCCAACCGCTCCCCACTCCCCTGATCACCTGCATCCTCTATCTTTCTGAGCATCTCCGCAGCTAGTGGCATCCAAATGGGATGCAAGGATACCGTGAAACCGGTGGGCTCCAGAGTCACCCAACCTCCCCTTGCTTCTTTCCCCCGCCTCGGGGGTCTTTTCCTTACCTTTATTCTGGACCATGACACTGGCATTTGGGGCGATGGAAACGGCGAGGTCTTTGGACTTCTGTCCCGATCGACCACCGGACATTGCAATAAACATGGTGCTGGACTTGGCTTCGGACAGGACTCTTGGGCTGACTCTATGGCAGGTGCTAGAGTTGGCTCTGAGGCCGGCTGTGTGGCAGGTTCTGAGATGGGCTTTGGGGCCACTTCTGGGGTCGGCTTTGGAACTGGTTCAGGGGCCAGGCCCCAGGCTGGCTCTATGGCAGGTTCTGGGATCAGCTCTGAGGCTGGTTTGGGGACCAGCCCAGGGGCAGGTTCTGGGGCAAGCCCTGAAACCCGCTGTGTGGCTGGATCTGGGGCCAGCTCTGGGGCCGGCTCTGTGGCAGGTTCTGGACTCCACTCTGCGTCTGGTTCTGTAGCTGGTTCTGGGGTCGCGTCCGGGCAGAATCCTGGAGCAGGCTCTGGACAGGGCTCTGGTGCCGGTTCTGGCGAAGGTGCATGAAGCGGCGGAGGAGCCGGCGGAGGCGGCGGCCACGGCGGCGGAGGCTCTGGAGACTCCGCGGGCTGCTCTCCATCCTGAGGCGGGCCACTGCCCGGGACCGCGGCAGCCCCGCGGTGCATGGTCAACACACCCCTCGAGTCCTGGCAGCCCGAGCCCCTGAGCTGGGAGCGCTAAAGGGCCCTCCGGGGGCCCGCCCACTCCAGCCTGGAAGCCCCTTGCAGGCTGCCAAACTTTGCCCTGGCCGGCTCCATGCCTGGCTGGGCTCTGAGGGCTAGTGGGGGGCGCTCGGCATCTCACAGCGCTGGAACACGCCCCTCCGTGAGCGCACACCTCTTCGTAAGCAGCCACGAGCCCGATGGGCGGGAAGCAGGGGGGCTTGCAGACGCGGACTGGGCAGAGCGCTTGATGACCTCCTAGCTACGCGGGAGGTGCGCGGAGCGAGGGTGGGGGTGGGTGTGTGTGTGGGGGGAGACAAACCGGGGAGGGGGAATGGAGACACAGGGCAGGAGGGGGTTGGGGGGGAGAAAAGGGGTAAGGTTTGGAGCCCAGCCGCGTTTAACCCTTTGGTGACATGAATGGAAAAACAAAAAACAAGCAAAAAAAAAAAAAAAAAAAAACACCCAGAGGCGAAGTTGAGGGTCTTTGCAATCTCCCTAAACACTGAGCTGTGAGCTGCTACTCATAACTGCCTCCTCCTCCTGTGTCTGCTCTCACCTCAGCAGCAGGTGAGGCCAACCTCAGACCAATCTCTTGTTGCCCCCTTCCTCCCCATCCTCCATGTCCCAGTCTCTTAGGGCAAAAAATCCTTTATTTCTAACCCGGGGAAAAGAAATGAACCTGCATGGTGTGCATGTGTGTGGGGGGGGTGGGGTGGGTGTGTGTGTGGGTATGGGTATGGGTGCGTGGGTGGGGGTGAGCAGGCGAATGCTTCCATCGCCTTTAGAAGTAAAATTCGCACTCCCTCCCCTCCTCAGTTTTGTTTTCCTGTTTTTTTGTTTTGTTTTGTTTTTCATTTCTGTACTTTGCCAAATCTGAGTGGTTTGCCATCAGGTACAGGGTCTGGGGGTGCTTCAGAAAAAGAGTGTGATGAGGGAGAACTGGAGCTTGGCTTTGCGCAGCCCGCAGATGTGGTCTGAGAGCAAGGCAAGCGTGTCCCAGCAGCGGCAGCTGGACTGCGAGCTCGCGAGCTGAGGCTGCCCCGGGCACCGCAGCTCTCCGCGCATAGGTCTGGCTCGCCTTGGCCAGAGTATACTGGCTTTTTTTTTTTTTTCACACCTCCCAGGCATCAGCGGAACTACTTTTTCTGAGCTTTTTGGGGGGCGAGGGGGAGAGAGGGGATCTGGGCTGCGGGAAATGCATGGCAACATGCACACCTGTTTCACTTCCTCAAGCACTGTGACATTCAGGGATGGGAGATTTTCTTGGGAAGAGAGTAGAGGGTCCTCAAGGCAGCAGCCTTTCCACCAACCAGGAGACTTCAGAAGCTCTCTGGTTGTCAGTCACCCACACAGGCGCCCGAAACCTCAGCTTAGACCAAGACGTTAGGCGCCAATCTACTTTTCATTGCAATGGAAATTTGAGAAGACCGCCCGTTAAGCCACTGCTGAGCAGGGACACAGCAGGAATACCTATCAACTCAGTTTGAAAGCTGACAAGTGAATTTCTCTCCCACACATCGGATCATCATGCTGCAGGTGTGGATGGCAGCCCTCCTACTTCAATGCCCCTCTCCACCCAAACCATTAGCCCCTACTAGTCCCTCTTCTTTAGCCAACTTGAATGACCTGCCCAGAATTTTCTAGAAACCTAAGCATTTTTTTTCTCCTCTTACACTGTGTCCCTGCAGTAAATAACATCATAGAATACAATCTCATCCAGACCCTTCCAAAGACCAGAATCTCTGAGGAGGTCTGTATTTCCAGATCCTTGCTGTAGCACTGAAGCTTAAACCCACCCTTCCAGATATGTTTTAACACAGCTTGGTGGCTACTAAGCTAGTGCAGGGACCTTTCTTAAACTCTGGGTAGCCTATTTCTCCTCTTTCCTACTGCACACTCAAGGAGCTAAGCTGCCTTTAAACTCTAAGAGTTCACGATTAAAACATCCAGATGCCATATCTGATCAGTCAATAAGTCCAGGCTTAGAGCTTGCTTCTCAGACTTTCCCATTTTGAGGAAATTCACCTAAGAAGGGGTCAGTATCCCACATTTTAAAATCTTGCTTTTCACTAAACCCTGACGTGTAGATGCAAGGGCTGGAAACTATATAGTTTCATAGCAATCGAGACCCAAGAGAGTGATGGGGTGGAGCTTGGAACTGACATTGTGTTGTCAAGCAGGCCACCACCAGGGGACAACTTGGAGCTATTGCTTTATGAATGTTGGGTGAAACTCACATCTACAATTCCATGCTTAATCGTAATAAGTCCAAAATGTATGATGTGAACTCTTACTGCCAGGTCAGTCTGAGGTTGCTTGTGTGTGGCTTTTGTGCCACTAAGGTGAGTTACTAGAAATACACTGCTTGAACTGTATCATGATTGGTTCTGGGGATTTAAAATTATTTCTCAGCACATCATACAAGATATTTTATTACCTTATACCATAGTAAAGGGTGTTTATTTTTTCTTTCAGTGTCTTCTCAGCCTAGCATTGAATACCATGTTTTACACTGGTGGTGGGTGGTGGTGGTGGGAGAGTGGTCAAAATGGTTGATTTGTACCTACTTCAGGAAAGCAACTTTGCTATAACTAATTTGCACCTCACCCTCCCCGTTAACCTGCTGGTTTATCAACAGGGAAAGCTTTGTATAGATTTGCGTATCTTTTCCTCAAAATCTAAACCAGGGTTGAGGCCATAGTAAGTATTCAGGAAATGTTGTTTAAAGTATGATTCATTGCAGGTTACCGGTTAGAGTGTATTTTTTTTCTGCATTGCTATTAGCAGCATTTTTACTTCATATGATTAATGATCTTCTAAGAGGCTCTTTTCTAATTGAACAATACTGATAAAAAGGTCAAGAGCGACGTCAGAATTTCTTCAAGTAGGTGTACCTGAAATGGTAACCATCTCCACAGAGGCTTGGGTAGAAATGATTCTGGATGTCACAGGTCAAACATGGCCCCTAATCTGGGGCTTTGGGGACATGTTAGGTGAGTTACTTGGGGCTGGGTGAAGGATTGATCAGTACAGTGAGCTCATATCTTTTGAGGGTGAGATGTACTTCCTTACCCACTCTTCCAGCATTGACCCTTATTTTACCCCCAAATGAAATCCAGTCAAGCCATCATGAACATTCTGGGAATTCTGAAGAAGTAAAGGATAGCCTGAGAAATACAGCAAAATTAAATCTCTTCTCTCTACTTTTTTCTTTTCCTTTTCCTTATTGAATGAGAGAAAAAGAGGGAAGAGAGACAGTAAAAGATTGCAATACTAGAGTGGAAACTCTTTTCCCTTTGACCAATAGCTTCAAATTCCTTAAGTCCTTCCCTTTAGAGCAATTTGGGAAGAAGTAAATGCCTCTCTTGAGTCTTGGCAGCTGCCAAACTCCCCCATCATTGTCACCTCAGCAATGCATAAAGCCAAAATAGCAACCTATATAATAATCTACTAAACAAAATAAGGAGATGTGATGAACAGCCCATGTAGAAAGAAGGTAAAGGATTCAGACAATATAGATGGGATTAAAATGCAAACCCATTATCCTTCACTCACTCTAGTCTCCTAGGATTTACTTGATACAGGACTGGAGAGTTTAAAAGTTAATGGCTTGCATTCGTATCATGTTTTTAGATTTTTAAAGTACTTTCACATATATTATCTCACTTGAGCTTCACAACAAATGTATGAGGTGAGCAAGTCTGGACTTTCATCCCACACTCCCGCCCCCTAACCTTTTACAGATGAGAACACACAAGTCCAGTGAGATTAAGTGCCATGTCTTAGGTCACAGAGATAATTAGTGGTGGAACAGACATTTAGAACTTGTGGCATTCAATTCCCAGCTGAGGGAGACCAGAGCATGGTGCTGAACTGGGGATTGTGAAACAGGGGCTGTGAAATCCTCTCTATAGCACAGCAGGAAGGCTGCCTTAATACCTTTTTCTTTCTTGAGCCTGTAAGAGGAGCAGACAGGGACTCTCATAATTTTACCTTGAAGTTTCTCAGATTTCTCTCTCTCTCTCTCTCTCTCTCTGGACAATAGTTAACTCCATAACCAAGATCACTATAAGAGTTACCTCTTTAAAAGAACATTTTTGAATATGTATGTGATAATATTAATCCACCCCGAGTATACTCATTTTATTGGTTCTGTTTTTATATATGTTTTTGGAGTCAAGAACTCCATAATTAAGATGCATTTACTGTCAATATGGGTTGTAGGCAGCCCTGTTAAGTGCCATGGAGGAGGAGAAAGGGAGAAATATTAAAAATAATTCTTCCCACAAGAATCATTAGAATGTAGCAGTTGAGATAAGCCAAGTACAGGTGAAAAATAATCCAAGTACAGATGCCAGTTTATGACCATGACACCACACTTTATACTTTTTTGAAGGAAGGGGGCGAGGATGATAACAAAATGTGACAGACTAGAAAATTAATTGAAAAAGGGGTCAGGAAATCTGGCTTGAGATTAAGGTTCTATCACTCAACTCACAGCATAACCTTATACAAATCATTTAATATCTTTGGCCTTCAAGTTTTCTTATTTGAAAAGTAGAGGTGGGAATAAAGTTCAATTTGATCAGCTAGCTCTAAAGTCTGTTCTAACACAGACTATCAGTGATTTTCTGAGTGAATCAGGGAAAAGTTCTTAAAAGGGGCATATCTTTTAAATTAATTTCTTTATTTAAATATTTATTTATTTTATTTGAAAATCCTGGTCATGGAGGCAGGCAGAGAGAGAGAGAGAGAGAGAGAGAGAGAGATCTTTTATCTACTGGATCATTCCCCAAATGGCCACAATGAACAGTGCTGGGCCAAGTCAAAACCAAGAACCTGGAACTCCATCCATGTCTTCCATGTGGTGACAGGAACCCAAGTACTTGGGCCATCTTCTGCTGCCTTCACAGGTACATTATCAGGGAGCTGGATTGGAAGTGGAGCATCCAGGACATGAACTGGCACTCATATGAGATGGCAACGTCACAAGCGGTGGCTTAACCTGTTGTACCACAACACCAGCCCTGAAATGATGCAGTTAATGTGGATCATCAAGGAGGAAGTGCAAAAGCATTATA